CTATGGTGAACTAACAGGAACACTGAAACGAAAACATATTCTGAAAAAATGTATTAGGGACGATTATCCTCTAAATAAGTTCATTTTAAAATGTTGTTTAGTCGTATTTATATGAGATAATCTGAGTAAGGAATATATTGATTGGTGGTTTGTATCTGACGCTTGTTGGCAGAACATGCTAACGAATGTAACGAACAAGTTTTATGTGTAAGCATACGTGTAATGGGTGAAAATCATGGAGTGGGGTTTGTAATGTGTAAAATAGATTATTGACAAATAAATGCAAAATCATTCGAATATTTTCTTCATTAGCAAACCTAAGTGGGAACGAACTTATCTAGGAGAATATATGCATATATATATATATATATATATATTTCAGAGACTGAGAGGACGATATAACAAACGAAGTAAATGGTAATCTTACATGATGGTCTCATTCAAACCAACGGCATTCAGGTTACCAACTAAATGAGGTGACTCGTCAAGTGATTAAAATTTAGTGTTGACGAACACTAGTATGATGCATTATTTACAACCGGATAATGAGCCTGAAATAAGCTACCGTGAATTATCGATTAACTAACTAACTAACTAACAGTTTCGATTGTGAACGTGAACTGAACTAAGGTTCATTGATTTTCTGGAAGTATTCATTTATCTGACCTGAAGTAGTATAATTTCGAGTCATTTATGTCATTACCTAAAAAGGAATTTCTTGATTTTTTTGGAACTAATCAAACTCTGACTCGCGGATCCATTCAGAAATAACCATAATAATTCTATCGTCAACAATAATTCATTATCATATCACTATGAGCGTAGAAACTGAGGTTCTATTTTCAGGTTAATGGGTTCATCAAAATTAATCTTTCTCATTTAGTCACAAGACTTTGAAAGCTACAAATGACTATTACTAAATATAATTTGTAATTAATTATAAACCGTTGATATTGTCAAAGCATCACTTTATTTCGGTGACGTAAGTCTAAAAAGATTAGGTTAAAAAAAAGCTCTTTGTTTGTTAAATGTTGTATGACAAGCAAAAACGATACGATATTTGGTCATGTGATTTTTTTGGCTCACATGTATTTATTAGATTTTGGCAAAGATTTATCTTTTTGGTCACAAGATTCACTTAAGGAATCTAGAAAGGGTCATACATTATATACACACGGATTGATAAATTTCAATTGTAGTATATGTATCGTTTATAGTGAAAGTACCAGTAACATGTTTTATGTGTCAGTATGAAATACTCGGTAGTTTAAGTCTTTCCGATAATTACCTGTAGGTTTATAAGGCGAAACGTTTCAATTCAGAAAATAATCATTAATAAACATAAATAGAATAAAATTGTAAGGAAAATACGTTTTCACAAATAAATATACCTCTTTCTCCTTTACATAAACCTTCGTAATTATCAAGCATCAAAGTAAAATTGTTTTGATGTTCGGTTGCCCAAAAAAAATTAGAATCTAGAGATGTTGAATAAACTGGCGTGAACATATTCACCGCTATAGTTCAACGATAATGACAGAGATGATAACTGACTGATCTTACAATATTCTTTACTACTTATGTCACACTTCATTCTTGTAACTGTTGTTGATAGAGTTACTCAGTAAAATCGGAAAACCATATCGTAAATCTTTAATTTGCAAAATATCAGTTCATCATAACGAACTGGACTGTTCCTGTTGCAAAACATCAATCCGTTGTCACTATTCATGCGTTTCATACAAATTCCATTGTTTTCTAACTCTTCCTTTCTTGATCTTCCCCCATCTTCTGCTGCTAGACATTACGTTGACACTCACGTCATATACTACTTATAAGTAGCTCGCACCACAATTTGAGAGTTTACTGAATCCGATATGTACAGTCCACTCCAAATGTTATAATCATAAATTTAAAGTTAGTGATTAAGTACGAGAAATGGTAATAATGATACAGGTACATGTGAACTAAAGAACTCAACTTGGTGTTGGGCGTAAAGCCTTTTCTGTACAGCTCAAATCAAATTGTATGACAAATTTATATGACCAAAATAATAACTAAAGCTGAAAGTTTGCTACACAGAATCGCATCAGTCTAAAAACTTTCAGTTCAAAAAAGATTTATTTATCTATTTAACAGAGCTAGTATTTATAATCTCTGTTGCCAGTAATATTGTGGTGCGAGCTACTTATAGGTAGTATATGACGTGAGTGTCAACGTAATGTCTGGCAGCAGAAGATGGGGGAAGATCAAGAAAGGAAGAGTTAGAAAACAATGGAGTTTGTATGAAACGCATGAATAGTGACAACGGATTGATGTTTGGCAACAGGAACAGTCCAGTTCGTTATGATGAACTGATATTTTGCAAATTAAAGATTTACGATATGGTTTTCCGATTTTACTGAGTTTCGGTTTACTGACTGTCCAAAGCCCGGACTGGCGACCCCATCCCGCAGAAAATCAATGGGCTAAAAACCGCTAACCAGGAAAGATAACTCAAACTATTTAAAATCTGCCCTACGAATTGGAAGGTCTTCATTCAGAAGTCTAATGGCGTCTCATAATGAAAGCTCAGTTCCTTAGGGAGTTTTCTTCACCGTAATAATTTCATCCATGAGCGTTTGTCGCTAAAGTTTTGTTTACATGACACTAATTATCAACACTCACTTCTTGTCTCATCTGTACTCATCAAATTTTATTCTAATTTTGTTTTTAAGCTCTTAGTTTCTATTTCAGAATATTCATATGTTCAATCTATAAATATTCACACTATTTAACATATATCTCTTATGGTTTCAACATATTTTCAGCTCTTTCATTAATCTCTGTTGATGAGATCGCTTCTGACAACTCAACATGTTCCAACCAAATCACACTTGATGGAGATGCCATGGAGGAAGTAAAAGCATTTACTTATGTGGACAGTATCATCGATGGGTAAGGTGGATCTGATGTAGATGTGAAGGCGTGCATCGGCAAAACAAGAGCTGCGTTTTCACAATTGAACAACATCTGCAACTCCAAACAACTAAAAACAAACACCAAAGTCAGCAGAATTTTCATTACAAATGTCAAGACAGTTCTACTGTATGGGGCGGAAACGTGGAGAACTACGAAAGACACCATCCAAAAGATACAAGTGTTCATGAACAGTTGTCTATGCAGAAGTCAGATGACTTCAGATCCATTGGCCAGATACCATCAGCAACAACCTACTATGAGAAGGATTAAACCAGATTCCAGAGGAGGAGGAGATGAGGAAGGGGTGGTGGAAGTGGATAGGACACGCATTGATGAGAGAACCGAACTGCGTCAGAAGACAAGCCCTCACCTGGAACCCTCAAGGTCAAAGAAAAAGTGGAATGCCAAGGAACACACTATGTCGAGTAACGGAGACCGACCTGAGAAGAATGAACGAAAATTGGACCAAATCGGAAAGGGACGCGCAGGACAGAGTAGGTTGGAGAACACTGGTGGTAACAGACGTAGTTATGTAAGTAAATGTTAGATCTAGAGTTGACCGAAAACATCAGGTCACAAATCTGTTGAATGTTTTGGTGACTTACTTAACACCACAGTGAACGGTATTTAATTCCGTGCAATTTAAGTTACTTAGGACTAAGTTTTGCTTCATGTAGTGCTCGCTTTTTGACCAATTATCACAGTTGTCTTTCGTTGGAATGTTATGTGTAAGAAATTCATTCTTCATACGTGTAATCGACAGCATATCCTTTGGCGTTAAATTTGTTGTATGGAAGTTATAACTTATCATTTGTACAATGAAGGTATGTAAAAACTGCATTTCAGATGACAACGTATTTAACACTTTGATCCTCAATTCAGTTTTCAACGAATATCAATAAAGCTAGAAAACTATAAGGAAGATGGATTTCTTCTGGATACTAAAATACCGAATTTTTTTATCTTTCTCCACACATTTGTCTGTCAGAATCTGTGAAAAGTAGATTATCTGATCCTCATGGTGGTGTTTCGTTCTCTGAGCTGGATGTTTTGGTTGTGGAGGTCAACAGCAACTAATCAAGATCAAGGTTAGCAGAAAAATCTACAGGTCAAATGTGGAGTAATTCGAATGCTTCACTTCTATCTGAAGTTTGCGCTGATGTTGTTCAGTCGAACAATTAAAGATCCATGACCAAAACATCCAGCTGAGGCGACGACACACCACCACAATCATCCACCCGAGCTACAAATTTTTTCCACCATCTCAATATCTGGTCCTCACTAAAAGTGTTGAATTTTACGAGAACAAAAATTGCCATCATTTGAACAGCGATATATTAATTCAGTCGCTATACACCGAAGATGGCATTTATCCAAACAATGTTGGTTGCATTTCGCCTAAATCTAGATTTCTACTATTCATCTATACCATATGACTTTCCCTCTAACCTATTATCATAAATTCTAGACAAACTTAGTGTCTGCATAAGCAGTTGAATGACTTGGTCACTATTATTATTATGATTATTATTCGCTAATTCATCCATGTCGTCTGATCCCACCAACCACTACGGTAAAAATATTATAAATGTCTCTGACTATAATTACAGAGCCTAATGAGATTACGGAAAACATGTATTCGTTGTACGTGTGTATTATCATGCTACATCAAACTATCTGTAATAAGCCATTAAACTTTGTTCAGATGAAAGAGATAGGATTTTTTTTTAGGTGAATTCAAACGATATTTCAGCAGCTTCGGAACATGAAGGTTATCTAAAGCCTTCGAATTGCGGTATTTGTCAGACTTATCTAAAAATTAATTAAAAACGGAAACCCAGTGGGAATAACTGGAAAAACAAATGTTACTCTTATGCCATTTGCTATTTTCTGATTGGCTCTTGGGGTGAGAGAAAGAATACAAGAAACGTAGGTGTATAATCACGTGAATTGTTTGTTGATTGGTTTAAACTCACAACTTGCATCAAATGTCTCACTGCGTCTTACAAGCACTTTGGTATAGTCAGACCAGGCTTGACCAATAGTAGATGACGCATCAGGTAGGCGGTAAAGTCGTAAAGATTGCTTTGTGTGTGATGCTAAAATACACTTCAATCTGTTATCAGTAATATTTTCTTGACTACGTGTGTATGAAATTCGTGGAGTACTTTTAACTGATGTCTGCATACGATCCATTTAGTGTTCAGAATGGTGGTACCCATACTTTCAATGGAACAGAAACTCTCAGTCGAATGGTTGTGGATGGAAATTATATTGATGGGTCTTGGGAATTGTCTGTTGCCGTTGAAGACATAAACGCAAATGTTTCAGTACGTGTTTTGGGTGATCTGTCACTGGGCGGTTTGATGCATCGGATTGTTGAAAAGGTGAAGTTACAGCAAAGTTGGTCAGACCATGCAATATGGTGGATTGATAGGAATATATGGCTTTTGCATAGCCGGACAACATTGGATCAATATGGAATTCAGTCGGATGCTAGATTGATGTTTCGTCGTATGCATAACGATGTTCAGATTGTTTTACCCTCTTTAACTCCTTTGGTAATTCGTGTCAATTATGCTGCTCGATTGTTTACTGTAGTTCGGGATATATGTAAAGAGTTAAACATACGCCATTCAGAGGAATTATCTTTAACACTCCCTATCACTAAAAATATGCTGAAAACAAATTGCCCATTGCCAACCATTCGTCCAGGCTTACGACGTCCTGGTACAAGCTTGTCTAATCAAAGGAATGATCAGACTCCTATTAAATCAAAAGTCCCTTCTCCACCGTCTTCAGTTTATCCTACAGTTGATGGGCAACAAAATCCGTATAATACATTGAATTCACATGCTGGTACAATGATGCGATTTAAATCTGATAATTCGTTAGATCAAGAAAGACTTGATTTTGCTCGCTATGCTGACTGTTCATTGAAACGTTCTGCAAAAGCTGTGTTTGCCGATAACTGGTTGATGAAACCCAAGAATTTAGTTCAAAAAGCACGTCTGAACAGTGGATGGTTAGACTCATCTAGATCACTTCTAGAACAGGGGATCAAACCATCATCCTCGGAAGCCGATAGTCATGATCCACATAGCCCTCCAACTTTATATCTGTGCTTCAAATATTTTACTTTTTACGACGTGATTTTGAAATATGATGCTGTGCGTATTCATCAGCTTTATGAACAGGCGCGGTGGTCTCTTCTGTCTGGCCAGTTTGATTGTACAGAAGATGAAATGGTTGTTTTCGCCGCTTATCAGCTGCAAGCTGAGTTACAGTCTGCTGCTGTCAACCAACAATTGTGTGTCACTAACTTCCCAGATATGAATAATACAAATCCTTATTCAACTTTAGGTGCTTGTAGCACCGTAAGTTCTAATTATGTAAACCGTAGTCCAGTTCATGCTACTTCAAGTCCTGATTTGGCAAAAAAACATTATCCGCATTATAATAGTGGTGGGTTAGTTTCACAATTACCTCGGAATTTATCTCCAATCGGTTCAACTATGGTGGATGGGACACCAAGTAATGTACATAACATAGGTGGTGTAGACGAAGTAGATGAACTCCTATCGGAACTAGAACAATCTTGTGGGGTTACTGAAGAGTCTGAACCAGTACTACGTACTCTGCAAAATGCAGTTCGATCAACTGGTCATGATATGACAGATACTTCTGAAGTGCCAAGTCTTGAAGGTGCGATTAAAGTATTTAGAGATCGTTCTCGCCTTTTAAAACGCTACAAAGCATACTGGGCTGTTATTGTGGAAGCTCGTCTATGTTTATTCAGAAGTCAAACACAAACAAAAGAATGCTTAGCTGAGTATTCGCTTCGTGATTGTACAGTTAGTCCTGATGTCAATGTTGCTCACCAGAAATTCATAATCAAACTATCAGTTCTATCCGTATTGGATCAAAAGTCAAGTAATGATTCTCCTCTCACTCTTCCGCCTAACAACTATACACCCAGGGAATTATGCCCTACCCGTGAAGAAATATGGTTGAAGTTTGACTCAGCTGAACAATATGCTTGTTGGTTAGCTGCATGTCGTCTCGGGTCTAGGGGGAAAACATTGGCTAGTAAGGTAGCCTACAGTAAAGAGGTCGAAGCCACACTGGAATTACTCAAACTTCAGATGCCAGGACCATCTCCAGCCATGTCACTTTCAGAATCTACAACTTATTTGGGTGATTTGACGGATTTCTGTAGTGATCGAATTATTCGAAAGGCTCGTTCTAAAGATACTTTAAGACAGCGCATCACTGAAGCTCATGTAAACATTCGTGATCTCGGTTTACTAGAAGCCAAGTATAAATACGTTCAAACATGGCAACGGTTAACTGGATTCGGTCGAAGTTATTTTATTGTACAGTTTGAACGTGGGTTATTAGGATTACCAAATACAAGTAGTGGAGGATTATTCAGTACTTCAATGGATGATATTATAGCTATCTGTCATGGTCGTATTGAGGTTGTTTCCCCACAAACAGGTGAAATTTTATTAACTTGGAATTTTTCTGATCTTCGTTCGTGGAATGTTAACTGGGATGCAGAAAAAGTCATTCTAGAGTTTCGTAATTCACAGGTATCATTTAGGCCTTTGTCGACCAACTGTAAAACAATCGTCGAATTTATTGGTGGATACGTATTTCTTAGTCAGCGCAATTTGGAAAAAAGTCAAGAGGTTAATGAACGTCTTTTTCATCGTTTAACTGGCGCGAGTGATTGAGTTCCTGACTGCTCGTTAGGATCTAGAACGATTTTATGCAATTGTTTAGTCTCACTTTTGCCACTTTCCCACTCATTTTATTGTCACTTTCAAGAAAAGGAAATACGAAAATCTTTTCGATGACTTTTACGTCCTCAGTACTATCACTTCGTTGGACTAGATAGGCACAGGGGTGAATTTGTATTTTATTGCAACGTGATCTATTTTCTACATAAACTCTCAAGTAAGCTATTACTCTAATTATTACGTGCTACTGTTAAATGTGGGATATTTGATTGCTGTTATCGTCTAATCAATATTATTATTATTATTATTATTCAATCAAAATCTGGTCAGTGATTGAAGCTTGTTTTGTGTTCGCTTTCCATGGTTCAACTTATTGCGTTTCTTTTAGTGTACCTATCAAAATTATCACCCTACATTGAACGAAGTAGTGTGTGAAATATAAATCATAGTATTAAACTCTACTAATTATATTCCATTGTCTTTCAGAATAAGCTTTACACTTTTCTGTAATTTTAAATGTTGCCTTATTGATTTTATGAGTATATTATGTTTGTGTTTATATATCCATGTGTTTTTATATCTACCATATTTTAAAGGCAATACCTATGCATGTATATGAATGAATTAATCTATCGTTTAGCAGCCGCTATTTTTAAATTGCTTTTGCAAGCATTTCTCCTCTTGGCTATATGTTGGTCTATTCCGATACAAGAAATGAAGCAACGTTACTAACTCACTATCCTATTTCATCAAAAAGTAACTATTAATTAATTAATTAAATTTTTACTTTCTTGATTATTAAAATACCAATATATTTCTGTTTAATTGAAATGGAATTTGAATGACTCTTTTTTCTTCATGGTTTAAAAGTCAATATATGATGGTCTTGGACTCTGATTAATGTTATATTGATTTTTATGTGATAATCTTGTGTATTTTAATTGGTCTCTCTAAATATATATATATATATATATATATATATATATAATTTTATGATATTGCTATTGATATTCGTATATATATTTATTATGGTGTTCGGATTGTTTTAAAATAAAATAAGTCTGGAAGATTATATTCAGTTTTTTGTTCCACTATCATTTCAGTGGGAAATTAGATTCTCAATGGGTTTCTTAACACGTTTAATTGATTGTGGCAACGACATGATATTTGTCTGTATATACACGTTTGACTTGTGTATCATTGGTCGTTAAGTCATAAAAAACATGAATCTTTCTTAGATCTTGTAAATGGATGTGAGGACATGGGTTATCCATGTTTGCATCTCAATTAAACCTACATTAAATTTATCCGTCTAATTCTTAGGAAGGTTACCAATGGATATTTCGTTTTAGCACAGCTATTATCATGTCCTTGTAAGGTTTACGATCTTGGTATCCTGATATGCATGGGGATTTGTATAGTGCGTAGAACAAGCTTGTTTAATTACAGAACTCATCTTTTGAAAAGTCTACTTGGAGATCTTCACAGTCGCCTTCTTCATACAGATTGCTGTGTCAGTTTTTTATTTTTTCTGCCAAACTGGATATGAAAGATGTTGACTATCGTGATGATTGTATTCGGTAAACTCTGTCCTGCAGTTTTAGATTATGTTTCGAAGATTTCCATGACTTGCAAGTAATGTAGACTTTATAAGGCCTTAAATTAAGTTTCCGATTTGTTAAGTTCTTGCTTACTCTTCAGCAATTTTAACTTTTGATACTGTTGGGTTTTCAGTATATATGTAAACTGATTTACAAAATAACGAGTCATGTTTTCTAAAGTGAAATTTAACTGCTTACGACTGAGTTGTTGATTTTCCCTCCATAATTCTGTATAATGTTTTGGCACACTTATCTGTTTATCTGAATAGTTCATTTTTCAGGTTAAGTCATCTACTATTTGTTGATTTTATTCTGTCTTATTTTAATCAGGGCATCCAGTACAATTAAATTGTTAATAGTAATCCAGCGTTCAATGAATAACTTCAAAATGGATTTTTTAATAATCAGATTCTAACACAATATTCACTGCTAATCTCCGTAAGTTACCCATATGGTTATGAAATTATGAATTCCCTATCCATAACGAACTAAAACATCTAAACTGGATTCAAAAATTACACCCATGATTGTACCTATGTATATTGAAATGCTTACAAAAACTTCAGCTCATAAACAATGTCCGAAAATCTACAATATTACTTTCAGGAGCTATCTTCCCAATAGGTCTTTAACTGTGTAATTGTATAACATATCATTGATTGCAGCGTTTACTATCATTTGATAATGAAAGTTTTTTGAGCTGGACGTTTTGTTATGTTATTTTTGCGCTATCTATCTAATGTTGGAGTCATCTATGAGGATTCACAAATAAAGGCATGAGAAATACTGTCATTGATTTCTAGGATTGTAATACGTGTACTACTGTATATGGTCATGGAGACCTATTCAAACTCGTTTTTTATTTCGAAATCAGATAATGTTTTGGCTAGTTATATTTTATTGATCTATAGCTTACGGTAGTAATAAGCCAGAAAAATAATCCAACTATTCACTTGATTATTTTTTTTATTCTCCCTCAGTGTTTATTCGTATTTCCATTCGTAACTATTTGTTTTCTAACCCACTCTTATTGTGCCAAGATTTTTGGATGTAGTTTCTCTCTCTGTGCATATATATATATATATATATATATACATATATATACATATATATATATGTATATATATAAGCGGTATTTGTTTCTTAATGGTAGTTAGTAGGATGGACTTATGGCTGGGTCATTGATTTTTATCTGTAGGCTGTGAACATATCTGTCTTACGGCCTTCAGATTACTTGATTATCCATAATATTATTTGTTTATTATTTTTAGTGGTAACGGTTTGTGTGTGTGTGTGTGGATGTTTTAGATTGTGTATGTATGTGCTATAGGTGTGCATAATTAGAGTGTCTAAAGAGATGCACAGTAATAAAAATCGTAGCATTATTTTAAGCAAAATGCCTACTATTTGAAGAAAACATTGGGAAATTCCTCATAAATACCTGTTTGATCTTGTTTTGACCTTTTCCATAGTGGTTCTCAACTCTGTCGATATTTAGAACCAGCACTTCATCATGGCTCACAGTTGTTCTAAAATGAAAATCAACAGTTTAGATACATTTAAATACATCTAACTTCTAAAATTTGTGGTTATAGTAGATTACTGAATGATTATCGGATAGATGAATAATGAGCTGGAATTTGTGAAGGATTTTAGGTATTTTCCAATTTAGATACTACAAGGACTAAAACGTTTCCATTCAGGATTGTCGGGGTGAAAAATTTTGTTCATTAAATTTACCAATAGTTGTGGTTCATCTCCAACGCTTTTAAGTAAATCGCTATATTTTTATAAGGTGAAATAATACAAATTTGTCAAAATAAAAAAAACATGCCTTCATAGATTTTTAGCATTAGTCTACGAGTCAAGTGTTTATCAATTTCTGTATGAACTAGGGTATTGTTGAGACGTTCAAGTTGAAGCAGGTGGTTTTACCAGGGGTCTACTCACCGGACCTTTGATCTAAGGAACAAGGACAAAGGATTCAGTCCCATTTGAGCAGCTGACCAAAATAGGTCCGTATATGATTCATCCTTTGACGATTCCGTAGCCATGTCCACACAGCTTATAATCATGGTTTTCAAACTCCCCTTGGTGAACCTGCGTCCACCACATTACTACCTCTCATTTTCTTAAAAGCATCCCTACCATGTGAAGGTAGATGCATAAAAGCTGTCGCCGCACGAGGAAGAGCGGACTCTTACCACCCTAATCCGTACCCCGACATTTGAGGTCAAATATAAGTGGCCTTTTAATGGAAACAGTATGTAGCGCGTTTTTTGCTGTGGCTATACTTCTTTGTGTGCTATGAAAAGAAAAGTGTTTTTAAGATGCTAGAGCACTTAGTATGATAGTTCTTAAGCAAACTAAAATTAATTCCCTCTGTAGAACTGATTGTCTTGAAATTCAATTTTATGTAGGGTTTTCATGAATCAAATATGAGGTGTATATGTATGTGTGTCCATATACGAATGACAGGAAACAACACGTTTCAATGCTTTAGTTTATTAACTTCGACCAACTGACACCAATTTATTGCGTTTCAAAACATTTTTGTATAGTTAAGCATCTTTTGATCATTAGGATTAGTTGGTGTGAACTTGCAGACACTATTGTATTAGGTGTAGCTTTGGTTTAGAATATAGGTAAGGGTTAACGTGTTTCACTAGTGCTTAATTCCCACTATAAGGATGTAATATGATTTAAATCCTTCTGTACTCACCAATTTCTAGAGTAACGTTATAGTTCTTCAAGATTGTAAAAGGGGTCATATGTTCCACGTTCTTGACGTTTTCATGATTCATGAATCGAAACTAAACCGTTAGATTGATCTCATTTTTAAAAAGAAGCTTTGTACTACATCAGCTAGAGTCAGGTAACCTGTCATTTACACAGTTTGCTTCCCCTCAAACTTCTCCCGTTCAAGCATTTGTGGAGCCATACGCTAGTAGGAAGTATGATTAACGTCCTACAGTTTGAATCTTTCAATGTGTATCTAGCTGCAGTCTCAAAAGTTTAGAAAAATATTTGTGGTGATCTCTTGAAAAGTTGTCATTAAGATATTTAAGGACATACTTTTAGTAAAAAAAATAATACTACGATATTTTAAGCCGTGGTTCACACACTCTTCAAATGGACTACGTGTTCTAACTGGTTTTCCTCAGACTTGATTGCTGGATAGTAAGAAAGGGCCAGATATATTCTGTGAACCTTTTTTAGAGTCCATGTGTCTTTTTCCCTTTCTCTCTTGGTCTGCTATTTCTCACTCTAAAAACTGAAACGATGCATTGTCTTTTCATGATCCCATGTTTTTCTAATCAGCACAGTACATTATCTAATGGAGATATCCTTTCGACGCGTTTATTTTCATTGCTGCACAAAAACAATTTTGTATTCCTCTTCCTAAAATATTTTCTATAGTTCCGTAAGATAATGAAGTCGGTAAAAGTCTAAATAATCATAGACTTGTTCCTAAGCTTTTAATTTTGAAATTCACTGAATTGATCAAACTGATAAGATTATTTAGAATAGGTCTTTGACAAGGATGGCGATTCCAAGTTGTCAATATTTTCAGCCTCAATTTTGATGATAAAGTTTCAGAATCAAACAAAGCGTATATGTAACTTGATTTTAACCCAATTGTTCAATCTAAGGATAAAACCTTTGTCATCTAATTAGGAATTTTACTTTTCTGTAGAGTGATTAATACCGTATCGTTTTGAATATACATTATAACTGTGACCGGTTTCTGTTTCCTTCTTGAAGCTACTTCTTTTTTTTAAAAATCTGGAAATAACTCTATCATAGCGTATTTTTTCGAAAAACCCTATCTAATGTTTACCTAGTCTATTCATCATTTCAATTTATTGTCGATTGGTTTGTTGACTTATTTTTCTCCTCTCACTCTTTCAGTAAAGTGATAGATGCCCACACTCATAAAGAAGGACAGTATTAATCTATTTGATTTTATAGACACGTTTTGATTTGTTATTAAGGGGTTGTGGTGATTGGTAGATTTCGTGATTTTATTTCCTTAAAGGTTAGGGTGAAAGTAGGCTTTTCGATTTTGACTGTTTATCTATAGACTTTTGTACACTGTTGAGGCAGGCAGTATACTTGATTTTTTGGAATAGAAATGTCAAGTTCAGTATGTGTGAAACAGTTAGATTTCTTCTTCTTGTTATTCAACTAAGGACTCCTGTTAACATCTGGTATCGATTACAGCCATGATGGGCACTAGTAATTTGTTTAGGTCGGTATTTAAGAAAACTTGAAACAATAATCCGAACAAAGTGAAGATAAAGCCATTAATTGGTAGCGTTCATTACTGACTGACATTAGCTGAATAACTAAATTGAGCAAATTTAGACAAACCACTCATCACTCAGTATTTTGATGAGTAATTTTAAATGCAAATATGATTTCTAGCATGTGATAAAATCTATGAAACAGTTATGGGTAGCCTGTTCAATGATGCAACTTATAATTCTCTTATTAGATAGATAGATACAGCGCAGAACTTCGTACGTAAGTACATCAGTTCAGGTTGCCATGCCCCATCAGCACAGAGACGCAACTGTCAGTTCAAATCCAAGAGTGATAGCAATAATAGAAGTATTAGCAGTAATGGAGAAGATTAGGGAGCGAAGATATGATTTGAGAAGTATTATTCAGTAAGATAAATTTAGAAGGAGAAAGGTAGAGATTATAAGGGATGCAGAAGCTTAGGATTTCATAGAACACAAAGAGTGGATGCACCTGCGCGACCGCTACCTATCCTGAGCCATGTCGTTCAAGGTCTCTAACCATCGGTGACTTTCGTCTCGCGGACCCCAACCAGGTAGCCTACATCTACCAACATGACTCAGTTCACTTGTCAGTGACTTCATGGATTTGTGTCATGTTTTGGTTTGGCCGCCCCTAACTTTCTTCCAATCTACTCCTACACCACAAAATATAGCTCGTCGAGGCAGTCGGTGGTTAGGCATACGTAACACGTATGTACGTATGTAACACAAGTCGGACTTCAAGCTATTAGGTTTTACATGTATATCATTCTTATGCTCCTGATAAAAATCCCAATGTTCAATACTCTGAACTATTAGCGTGCAATAATTAGTCAGGTTTCAAAAGACATCTCAAAGAAATTTTAAAAGATGAGATAATGGGCAATCTGAGGCACTCAGTAAGCACCTAATCACTTAGATTTCATATACGGTGCGTAAACTATTTAGGGAAACGTTCTTAAGTGTTTAAACCTGTTTTGAAAACCAATCCAACATTCATCCGTATGGAATTTAAAAAACTAATTTATCAGACAAACCCAAGGTTTCCTCACTTAGCAATTTATTCTTTCATCCTGAACACTTGCCTGTTTCTTCGAATATACTGAACATTACATTCAACGACTTCCAAACAGACAATGTAATTTAAGGAGTGTGAATCATTCAAGTACAAAACTTTGATGCTTCGTTGTCTCTGTGCCCGTAAAATACAGTTTACTTATATTCAGTTCTAATTTGTGAATACTTCGTAATTTGGGCGGATAGGTTCTGTTTCAACGTAGAATATAAAGCGAAGAGGTAAGTGTTAATTATTCGAACTATGGAACATTAAACTAGTCGATAATAGTTAAATTAAAGGACCGATCGGGTTAGGAACAGTGGTTAATTTACATTTATGAAACAAAGATTTTTGATAAGTTTAGGATTAATTCAGTTATGTCGACCCGAAATAGGCTTCGATTATAATGTTTAAATGTAAGTAGGTGATTATTTGTATTTGTATTTCTCTGTGTTTAGTCTTTATGAAGGGCTTAGTGGGAGGTGGGTTGTCTTGTCTATCCAGCAAAAATGGAAGTGTATAGTGTGCTAACCATGTGTATTATTACGTAACAAAGTTCAACCACCACTGCTGCTGCATATGGAGTTGGTACTATGGTATTTTTATGGTAAAAAATATTTTTCCCTCTAACTACATGGAATGAAAAGACTTCATTATCAGATGAGCACATTATATGACGTCTTATTTGTCCGTTGTCAAAATGTGTACTAGCAAACTTTTGTTAAAT